TTCACGGTCAGGGAAACCACATGTTCAAGGAAAGTAATACAGAGTTCACAGTAGTTGTGAGACCAAAGAACCAGGGGTAAGCAGTAATGCAATTGTCTACTTATTTCCTGGAAGCTTATTTGATGTTTCAAACTTGGTTAAGTATCTCATGAATAACAGTGTTTTCTCTTTTGGCTTCTGTTCTCTTGATAGCAAAGCTCTAATCTGTAATTCTAATGTTTACATGATACTTGGATGAACGAAACCACAACAACTGTCAAGTGTGATCCAAACACAGAGGTATGATTATGTTTATAGTCATCTTGGGTTCATCTTGGCTCATTCGAAAAAAGTCATATTTGGAGCTTACCTAAACTATTAATGAAATGAATTGGGGCATCATTTTTTTACAAATGCGAAGAAATCTCATGTTTCTCTGTTTACTCTCTTTGTGGCTGGAAATGAGAACAGCAGTCCTCTTAATATTTCCCACACATTGCCAGTGTCCAGGGCGAGATAGATTCTCTCCTCTTACAGTGCAGACCCTGCTGTGGGGTGCTAACATAGCTGCACACTCCTGTGGTGCTGAGTGAGGCACAGGAACTCCACTGCCCTCTGTTTGTAATTAAGCAGCTTGGGAGATTGCAGATCTCAGCCTCCATACTGCATCTTCTGAGTCAAAACCTGCATTTGACACCATCCCCAGGGGATCAACCTATACTCAAGTATAAAAAGCATTATTTTTCATCACTTTTAACTATTTTTTAATAGAATTCTGGGAGGTGAGTAGTATTCCCCATTCTCAAGACACTAAAAATTAGAAAGATCTGAGCTCCTACAGTAAATAATGACATTACCAAGTGCATCTTCAGTCCGGCTCTGGCCTGAGGATTTTTCAAATACATTTCCCTGAAAACTCTACAAGAAAGATGCTGTTATTGTTTTTTTTTTAAAGATTTATTTATTTATTTATTTTTATTTATTTCTACAAGCACTGGGTACAGTCAGAAGCACGGGAGGAGTGAGAGAATTCACCAGAGCCGCGCAGGGGAGCAGAGCAGGCAGAAGGACCGAGGTACACTGCGGGGGAGCACGGGGGCGGGAGAGGTCTGCGTGCCAGTGGACCCCCCTCTGGTGGCCGGGGAGCAGCCAGGATTGAACCGGCGCTGCAGCGGCTGCGGGCAAGCTTCGCAACCCAGCGCTCACCCGCACCCACCAACCGGGGAGGCCCAGATGCTGTTATTGTTAATGTGCAATTGGAAAAAGTGAAGTTAGTGGTTCTTGGATTCAAATACAGATCAACCAGGCTCCACCCTGGTTGCCACAATGCCCACGACTACAGGGTCCAACTTGTTTGACTCCAAAGACTGTGCTCTTTACACCACTGAACCCTGCCTTAACCACCACACAGGTAGTAGCAGTATAAGGACAAATAATCCACAAATCCATATCTTCAATACAAATTGCTCTTTTTACTTTTTTGCTGATTTATGTTTTTGTCTATGTAGGTTATACATAGTCAACATAAGCAATATAGTCCAAGACGCACATGGCAAGCTTGTGGACGGTTTTGAAGTGTTCACTCCACACAAAGTACTTGTGGATATGTGATACTATATATTCAGCTCATGAAGTCAGTTAGAGCCTTTCAGGATGAAAGCAGTAATTTTGGCAATAGAATTGTATCAATAATAATGTGTTGCAGATTTATATAAATAAGAGGCTTGAAAGTTACTCTGATATTATATATTTTTTCCAGATGAATAAAGACTCCCCAGCTTGCTTTAGTATATTATTAAAAACAGTAATTAATGTCTACAAATTAAAGTTAATCAGAAGAGAAAAGATATTATTCATCCCCATACTGTCCAGAATAAAAATACAGTATTTAAAAATCTGGCAAAGACATGCACCCTGTAACTGAGTTAGCTTGCCTGGTCTCTGTCCCTTCTTTCTTCATTGACAGTGTGGTTTTCAGAGTAACGCATCATCTTAATATTTCTGTTTAGATTACGTTGATGAAAGGCCTCCAGGTTTTTCACCTTTTCGATTGTCAGTGATGACGGATGAAAGAAAAGAAACAACTGTAAGTTCACCCCACACTTCATGAAACCTGTACAAGATGAAGAACAGTATTCAGGAAAAAAAGCCAAGAAACACACTCGTGGGCATGGCAAGGGCCCATAAAGAACAAATAAAACAGGCCTTGGTCAAGGCCATAAACATGAGCATGACCAAGGCCATGGGCACATAAGGGATCATTGCTTTGGTGTGAACATCAAAGGGTATCATGGCCACGCCCCATGGGCATAAACATGAGCATGGTCATGGCCATGGAAAACACAAAAATAAAAACAAAAGCAATGGAAAGCACAAAGAAGGAAAACAGAGCATTGGCAACCTTTCTGAAGACAGCACTACACCCTCTACACAGACACAGAGAAGACAGAAGGGCCAACGCCCACTCCTTCCCTAGCCCAGCCAGGGGTAGCAGTCACCTTGCTGACTTTCAGGACTCAGATCTCTTTGCAGCATTGATGCTAATCCATCACCAGCTCTCACGGAGAGTGATGATGATTGGCTCCCTAACATCCAGGTAGAACCAGATAGCTTTTCCTTTAGCCTGATATCTGATTTCCAGAAACACTTCTCCCAAACACTTCTTCCCGGTGCCCTGGAAGCCAGTTATTGGAATGATCCAGCTGTGGAAATGAAAGAATTTCTAGATTTTGATCTCTCTGATGCACTCTATAATTAATGCTGCCATGGGTATTCTTTAGCACTTTATCACCTTCTTCCTCCACTGTCCCAATATCCTGATATGATGCACAAACCCATATAATTTCGAACAGCCTAGTGATATTTACAATGGTGACACTTGATCTCTATAGACAACGCAAAACTGAAGCTAAGTCCTTTCTGAGTCTGCCTCACACGTTTTCCTACTGTCACAGAAAATGGACAAATGAATATGCCTTATGGTCTGTTTTCTTTTCTGATAACAAACCTATACCTTAAAAGGAACGTCACTGATTTTGACAATCTAAATAAACTGGCATCTAGTCCCTGAACACATGAGAAAATAAAAGAAGTCAAGAGACTGAATGATGAACTTACTGGGTAAATAATATAATCTCCAAAAGTCAAAAGAAGAACAATCGAAAGAGAGACTGGTCAGAGGGAGGGAAATGGGCAGTCAATGAATTGACATCTCTTTTTAAAATGACCTATATTATTTTTATTTATTTATTATTTTTATTTACATCATTGTTCATTTTTAAACAATATTCCCCCCCCCACGCCCTCATGTGTAGTCCCCATAGACTTTCCATCACCAATGCAGCCCTTTACCATCACCTCAGTCCCCTGTGCTCCTCCCTCCCTCTGACCCCTCTCCTCCTCTCTCCCTTGCAGGATGTCTCTGATTTTAATTGTCTGTTTTGTTTTTTTTTTGTTTTGACTGTTATTATTTTTTTACACTGGTGTCTTATTTGGTTCCCCTATATTCCTCCTATATGTGAAACCATCCAAATTTTTCTTTTTCCTTTGGACTTATTTCACTGAGCATAATTCCTTCTAACTACATCCATGTTGCTGTGA